AAGGAATCAGAAGGAAATAAATGTAAAATAATGATGTATATATTATAATACGGTATATGTCAGGTGGTAAATATATGTGCCAATGCGCTAGACAGCAACAAGATTATAATGTGTCTTTCAGAGTTAAGCAAAGCTAATACTAAATTTACAAAATCCCAGTTTGCAATACCTATTAGTCATCAGTATATATCGAGAAACTTGACTTGTCATTTTGCAGGGCAAAATGTAAAACAGGGAACCCACTTACATCTACCCTGACTAGCCACTTAACGTCCACCTCAACGAGAACCATGCAGATGAAATTCATCCCATTTAACCGTCACCTTGGGCTGCTCACAGCTGCTACTTCATTCTACATTCTAGTATACTTTGGGTCACTGTAATCACAATTCTATGAATTTCTGAACTCATATATCATTAGTTACTATCGAAATGATTTCATAAGCCAAAAAGAACTTCAAAAAAGCAAAATCAAAAGCGTTGGCTTTTCTTTATTGTTACAGTCTTCAGAAGAAAAATACTAGTTTCCCTAGTGCTCTACACTGGTAGGAGGCTTTGCTTGGATTTAATCAGGCAAGAAGTGGCTTTCAGACGCTGCAAGCCTACAGGCAGTGGTTTATAACGGTAAAGTTGACTAAAAACGGTGAGGAAAACCCGCAGAGATGCAAAACACTATGTGTGCCTTGCAGTTGATCTTCCGCAGTTACACGGTAACTTACTGTTCTGGCCCAGCATCAAGCCCTGCGTGACTCTGCCGTGAAGAGGCACGTCAGCTGCCTCTTCTGCTGCACGTCTGCTGCTGCGGCCGCAACTTTGCAATTCTAACACGTTTTCAAATGACTTCACATTAACTCATTCTAAAGTGTGTAACCATCTAAAACATTTAGCAGTCACTTAACCTTTTTTCTCCAACAAAGGACATTACAAAGACCAGGAATCTGTCCTCGACACTTGATTTATTTTCTGAAGAGACAAAAAAACCCCATGTATTTGTCCATAATCCAGAAGCGCCGGTTAGGAACGACATGCAGAAATCCTACGTTTCATAGCATGCAGGATACGACGAGTGTGTTAAAATCCTCAGACCGTGCTGGGGGTGTTGACCGATGACTTCTTTTCTCTTTGCTGTGACAGCGGCAAACGCGCAACGCAACCCCGTAAGTCAACCCTGTCCAAATCTACAGCGGGATGAATCACAAGGCATCTTCCTCTGCTCTCAAGTGTTTCTTTTTCAAAGCAAGGCCTATTTATCCGCACACTTCTAACGACAGAGCCCACTCATCGTGCGGAGCTCCCTCAGAGCTTTGCTCCTGCGCCTCCCTCACGTTATCCTTGCTGACGCACGCCCACAGCCGCCGCGGCCTTTCCACGCCGTCCCGGCACCTCCCATGCAGGAGGGATGGTCGCCCCACGAGAGGCCGCAGCGCTGGGCTGCTGCTCCACCCGCGCGTCCCCTCGGCGGCTGGGAAGGGACCGTCTGCCCTGCAGCTGGCACCCAGGCAAACCCGACCCCGCTGCCTGCGCGACCCCAGCCTCCTGCCCGCCGTCCCGCGGGAAGCTCCGGGAGGACCCTTGGGTAGTCACCTCCCAAGGGCAGGAAAGGGAGTTTTGGGGCAGGCGCTCTCCGGCTACCGCAGATAAGAACAGGAATGAGGGCAGCAGGAAAATTTAAGAGGAGACCAGCTGCTGCAAGAGACACCTCCCGTCACAAGCGCGGAGAGGACGCCCTGGAGCGGAAGCGCAGCGTTCAGCCGTCCCTCGCTCCCCGGCCGCGCTGCCGACCCAGGGGTGCGCTGCGCCTCCCAGGACGACCCTCAGCACGGCCCCCTGGGTTACCCCATCCTTTGCCACGTCTCGGTTACCCCATCCTTTGCCACGTCTCGGTTACCCCATCCTTTGCCACGTCTCGGTTACCCCATCCTTTGCCACGTCTCGGTTACCACGCAGCGCCTAGCAGCCAGCACCCACTGCACTTACCGATTCAAATGATTTACTCTCACATCAGATATTAGCCTGCGGCTGTGTGCTAGAAGTTACACCATAACAAAAATCAACTTGAAAGAGATTTCTGATCTCATGGAAATTATTCCTGGGAGAGGGAAACAATAGAGCATCAGGGTCTACACACATCCACACCGAGAGAAGAAAATACACGTAGACAGGATTAGTTATTGCTGGTTTTTAGGGGTCCCGAACATACACTACACAGTAAAAAACTACGTGTACAGTTCTAATGCCAGTAAGTTTTCCTTATCCCCTTGCTTAGGTCAAACGTTACGTGTTTCTCCTCCGTCGCCCCAAATGAGAATTTAATCACCTGATCCCTACTGATCCTCGACAGAGCCACTCATGGGATCGTTATTACACAACACACTCTCGGCAGCTGTGTTAGAATGGTAACACCTGGAGCAACTTTAATCACACTTAAGATTCAAGCAGCATGACATGTTAATATCTCGGCAAGGTACGCAAGGCCCCTAAAACAAACAGAAAAATTAAACTGGAACTTCAGCCAAAAAAGAAAACTTTCTGAAAGCTTGCCAACACAAACATTTCACAAAGTTTATAATATATGATGCTGTTAGTCTGAACTTTTACTAAAGAACTGTTTAAAACCAAGTTTAAGACATAAGTTGGGAATATGTTTTTAACTCTCTGGAAATCCTACTGACTTGAGACCAATTTACTGAAATATTTAAGGGCCACATCAATAGAACTCAGTTCAAATTTCACTTAGTTTTAACTTTATGCATTTTGAACAGTAAGAGGCATTTTTACAATTTATCAATTCCTAAGCAAATTTTAGGAGTTCTTTTGAACACGACATCTTAAATATTTACAAAAGTCCTATGAGAAGTATGGCCGAAGGAGATACTCCGATGCCAGGGATTCAGCTGTAAAGTTTCCAGTGTATCCTTTAACGAATCAAGTGAACCCTGAAGAGATTCCCACTTCTCTCAGATTACCTCTGTGAATTTGCCACGGCACTTCAATATTTATATAAAAGTTCCTCTTAACGAGCAGATTCAATCTTCCAACGACTAGCTTTGCTTTTTTCAAAAGAAGGGGTAAAATTTAAAGCTCTGGAAATAATGCAGAAACAAAACCCAGCCAATTAAATATATCAAGTAAACCAAAAATCTGTAATCGTATGAAAAGGCCAAATGAAACGAGATCTAGAAAAAGCAAAGTTAGCACATAAATATGGCAATTGTAGGGTTAGTATTTGCAATAGAAATCTTGTTTTCTCTGTGCCTTAGTCCCACCTCTTCTCTAGAATTTGCTCCTTCTCTCTTTTATTTTGGTACCGCAGCATCTCAACGCCAGCTGCAGGAGCCTGCGCGGTCGATGCTAACGCTGCGAGCAAGCAGCAGTACTCCCGTAGCGCGACCCAGCGACACTGCCAGCAGTGCTACCTCGGGTCTCCTCAGCAAGCACCACGTCTGCGACTACATCGACGCACGAGCTGCTTCTTTTGGTGCTTATGGTCAGCATCAAAAGCCGTTCTTCGAAATAGCAAATTTGGGTGAAGAAAATAAAAAAGCTTCGTCTTACCATATTCTGCACAGAGCTACCAAAGGAACGTTTGTTGCAAGTTTCACAAAAAAAATTAAAGTTGATTAAACTTTTAATTGCTGCTTTCACTTTCATGTAGTTTCAAGCTAGATATGCAAGCTAATGAACAATCTGTAAGCATCATTAAAGAAATACAGGAAAATCCATAGGGGGCTCATTTATACAGTAAGAAATGAGTCATTTCAATAACAGCTAAATTGGATACCACTAATTTCAAACTGACAAAAAACTTCTAAGTAGATGGGAGCATTTGCAGTAAAAAATTTCCTCACACTTAGGCTTGAGATAGCAAGAATGTCAAAACTGAATTAACCTTTGGAAAAAAAAAAATTATTGTTTTCCATTTGTTTTGGCTTCAGAACCAGCGTCTCCCCCAATTACTACCCGATTTGATTCTTTAAGTCATTGCACAGCAGGCCTAGACTTGGAGAAAAGCTATTCCTATACCTGTGACCGATTCTTTCAAAACAAAAGACTTGAGAACATACAACGTGACTGTATCTGTATCTTTCCATTAGACCATTTAAAACCAGTTCTCTTGTTTGACAATTGTTATTGTGGCCAAAGACCAGTGCAAGCTATGGTCTGTTCATCCCATCTTGTGATACACACGTGAACAGGGAAGCAATCGCGTGAAGACTGCCTGAGGCACTTCAAAAACTTCTCTTTTCCCTCTCAAGTCCCCAGTTTAAAACTCAAAGTGGTTCAAGGCTCAACTAGAATTCAAACCTGGACTTGCCACAGCCTAACAGAAAAGCAGTAAGTCAGCACAGTTCACCGAACTCTTTTCCACATTAGTACTTACTGCCAGCCTTCTCACGGCATAGGCTGAGCAGGAGAAAATGCTTTTATTGCCTTTCTCTCGACAAGGCAGACTCAGTGATCCTTATGGGTCCCTTTCAACTTGAGATAGTCTATGATTCTAAGGTGCCATCCTTAGGAACTGCAACAGCGGCACCTGGACACGTCCGAGACCAAGGAAATTCACAGCCTGCCGACCGAGTCAGAGCTGCATGCCTGGCACCTGAGAGACTGGGACTGAAAGCCAGCAGGGAAAGTAGAGCTTCTTCAAAGAAGACAGAGGGTGCTGCTGGCTTTTGGTCTTTCCTGCATTCTGTGGGGCACACGGGGAGATAGCTGGGAGCCATTTAAGTATTGCCAAACACTGCCCAAGTTTGAGCTGCTCCTCACAGCGCGAAGGCAGGCGGTGAACTCGGGAACGGCTTCCTCTGGTGGGAGAGGGCACCAACAGCTACTGCGGTGATTAACGGCTTTCTTGCCAACACAGAGTCCGTAATTTGCATTGGCTGTACTCAAGTAATAGGATCTCTCATCACATTTATGAACAATCAATTATAAAGCGTCCTTGCTCTGCTCAGTTTATTCTGTTTAAACGCATAAAATAGTCAATGCAGAACACCTACCTGGCTCCGAAGATGTCTTTTTTCGCTAGATCAATGCCAGAAACCACCTTTACCCTGAGGATACGAGACTCCTCCTGTTAACAAAAAAGAAAAGGGGTTTAATGTTTATTCTGCCATTCATTTTGAAGATCAACAGTTCGCAAGACGTTAAGCTGTGAATGAATTCTCAGGCTTTAGATAGCAGGAGTCTTTCCTAGGTAGGATTCTGAAAAGAAAAACCTCTTGGAAGGAGGTATACAATTTCTCTGCTAAAGAACAGCCCAAATCCAAACATGAAAAGCATCCAACTCCAGTCAGGGCTGTTAAGAGTTAAATAAAAGCAGAATAAGAGTAGATAACAGTAATAACATCATAGTGATGATAATGTAACAATAATAGTCATAAAAGTAGAAGACAATTTGCTGAGCAGGGCCCCTTCAAATCCTAAATGATCCATACTCCACAGAAATTCATTCTGCTTAGACTCTAAAGCTGTCTCCTCAAACACAAAGGAAAATATTCAGAACATTTTTTGTCCAATAATGCTAATACCTCTCGGTCACAGAGATGTCTGCAGTTTAAAAAAAGGGTGCAAGATTAAAAAGAAATCCTGAAAATTACATTGTTTAAACCTGTCTCATCACCTTGGTATATACAGAGCTCAAAACCAACTTTCAATGACACATGGCAATTTCTGAAGATGCGTATTAGTAGGACATCAACCTGATGCTCAGTTTATCACTTCATTACGTTAAGCTCCTGAGGAACATTGGTATAAACAGTGTTTTTTACTTTTTTTTTTTTTTCATTCTGTTCGACCAGCTCATTTTTGCTACACAAAGAGGCCACCGTAATTAAGTCTGGCAAGGATCCTACAGAAACAGGTTCTGCAGTCACCCGTATCAGTTATACCTTTTTCTCCTCTGATAAGCCTTCCAGAACGGCAAGATACAAGATTCAATTACGGTAATTTGAGACTCCATTCCTTGAAGCTTGTTCAGAAAACAATAACATTTTCCCACAGGTTTATCCTGGCACGACCATACTACACCTATTCTATTTGCTTTAGATAGCTAAAAGCGAGACACAGATTTGTTAGCTGTATCCGAGATTTTCGAGGGTTAGGAAGGTCAGAAACACCCCAGAAGCAAACCCGTACCTGTCCAGTCTAACGCCATTCCCCGGGAAGGAGTCAGAAACGGATTACTTCCGAGAAACGCAAGTCTCACTGAACCTGTCTGCGGGGCGAGCTTCATCCTGACACGCGTCCTGCCACCGTAACTGTGCTGCAGTAAGGCAGCAGCCCCAGGATTTAAATCCTTTCCGAAAAAAAAGGCTTGTTGGTACTCCTTCCAGCAGCACTTAGCACTGTCCAAAGTAGTTTCTAATTAAGAAAACAGGATTCCTTCCCAAAAGGGCCTAAAGCTTACCAGAGAGGTGAACCAAACAGTATGCGACAAACAACAACTGAACGGTGTTATCTTAGTGGATATTGAATTATTTTTTTTTCATATGTTAACTTTTTTCAATCTGTTAATGTCAATACAACATGCCTGGTCTTCTAGAGCGGTTTTAATAGATAAAAGGCAATGAACTTGCAAATTACGATCAAGAAAATTCCTTCATTAAGGGAAGACAACATAGGGGAAAAAAAAAGTCAGAAATGCCAACTATTCTGACCTTACTGAAGGAGAACGGGAGGATAAGAAGTTGTAATACTAAGTAGAGAGGGACAGAAAGAGGGATTTTGGACAGTTACTATATTATCAATGCTACTCAGATTTCCTCCCACAAAGTCCAGCATCAACTTTGCTAGAGTGGCATCTTATTTTTGCACTAAAATCATCTTTGTGTACTAACTGAATGAAAAAAAAAAAAAACCATATCAAGAAAAAATGTCAGAGCAGGAGGAAGTCCAGCTACTGGAGGATCCCTAATTCAGCTTCTGCATGACAAAAGATGATGCTCCAGACTACCTAAATAGATAGATTCTCAAAAACATACTTGACGTTTCCCTTCATACTTTAAGCACAGGAGAAGACGGACCCTGTTCCCTCATCGCATGCAGGCTCTCAGCCTCTGCTAAATATTCCATTTACCAAGCAGAAACAGTGCTTTTGCAAATGTTTGTTCACATTTTCATATGCATGAAATATATGTAATATTTTAAAAAATAATTAAACCGCCTCAATTAGTAACAAGGCGTCACCTATCTACCCTCGAAATTGTTCCTTCAGTCAGGAAGATACTTACTTTGGTAACAGCTACTGTGTACACGCAGCAAGGTGGATTTTGGATGATGGGAAGTTTTTCTGCAGAACATGACAGTTAATATACAGTACTCTGAAACATATGAGTAGCTGTGCAGACAGCTTGTCTGTAAAATAGTTCTTTTGGAATGCACCAAACTTTTCTTATCTGTATCATTTTGTCTAAAAGCATTCACAAAAGCAGCCTAACAACACAGGTGCATTCATGTGCACGCATATGCATGAAAAGCATAAGAAAAGCATATTCTGGCTCATGCAGCTACACAAGCCCTCAGCCGATAGAGATGAAGAATTCCCAAATTAAGCTTGCTCAAGCATCGCCGCGGGTAGCAGTGGGAACCAGCAGCAGCTCCCAGCTTCCCCCCTGCGCACAGGCTGACACCTCCCGTTCCTGTTCCTCTGATCTCCGGTTCCCCAGCTGGGGGAACAGCAAGGCTGAAGGGCAGGGAAAAAAAACTTGTTCATATTCCTATGCTTGCTCCTTCTGTCCCAATTTCTTCGTTTATCTCCAAGTACGCTGTGTCTAAGTAAAGAAAGGAGTCAAATTTTCACGGCAACAGAGAGGTAATCTCACCTCATTGCCCACCAAAAGAGCCAGATAAAGGATTGCATGGCTAGGCACTGCCAGAGACTTGAAACAGAGCATCAGTTACCCGACACAGGTTTCCACCCACCCTTCTCTGAAAAGACTGTACAAGAAAAGAAAATTAGGATTTTGATTTGTTTTTCTTGTAAACCCAGGGCACAACAACAGAGAGCAGCCAAGACAAGACCACTAAACGTGGAAAAATTCTGAGTGAGAAGACCCAGGATCCAAACCCCAGATAAAGTGAGCCCTTTGCAGCTTTGAGCCTGAGCTAATCTGTAGTTAAGCAGCACTTACACTTGCTGAGATTAAGGACACGTTTACAAGCACATTTCTTTCAGTGGAAAGTGCCAATTTAAACAGCTCTCCCCTCCAGTTTATTCCATTCCCACCGAGGTTCTTCCGAACCTAGGTCAACACCTTGAGCCAGTGGAGGCCACAAACGGCACGCCAACAAAACTGAAGGTAAGGGGAGGAAGAAATGGACAGCCAGAGATGAAGGGTAGATGGAGGCAGCTGCTTAAAAGCCAGTACTGCTGTGCAAAGATATAGATAAAAGACACTAGGACGAGAGGGAATGGCCTCAAGCTGCGCCAGGGCAGGTTTAGGTGGGATATTAGGAAAAATTTCTTCCCCAAAAGGGCAGTCAGGCCCTGGCCCAGGCTGCCCAGGGAAGGGGCTGAGTCCCCATCCCTGGAGGGAAAGACGGGTAGATGTGGTGCTTAGGGACGTGGTTTAGTGGCGGACTTGGCAGTGTTAGGTTTACGGCTGGACTCTATGACCTTAAAGGTCTTTTCCAGCCTAAATAATTCTGCAATTCTGTGATATATGTGGCACCAAGACCAGAAATTCATGGCTTCAGTCTACAACACTCAATAATATTCAGCTGAGCTTAGAAAATGCTGACTTGCCCCTTTTCTTTTTTTTTTTTACTCCAAATACCTAGATTGCCAGGACAGGGAAGTCCTTACATACAAGCACGGAGAACGCCTTCGCTGAGTTCCATGTCATTTGGACACACCCTCCAGGTTAAATAATAATAAAAAAAGCCAAAGACTTAACCATCACTCCAGGATTAGCTAACTATAGACCAACAGCACTTGCCAGTAAAGCTAACAACTCTTGCAAGCCTTGGGCTCATTGCTCATGCTCTGCACAGTGTCTAAAAAAGTGTAAGACCTGAGTCAGTAATCCAGCACAGCAAAGTTCAGTGCCACCAGAAGTACCTATGTGAATGCTCACTGGCACCCAGTCTGATAGATCCCGCAAAGATCGAGCTGACTGTATTTAGTAGGTAGGAAAACCCCTGACACAAGTAGAGAACGAGGTGAGGAAACAAATTTGGGGGACTAAGGAGAAGCGGTATCTTGCAGAGCTATGGTTCTTGCCGGGATCCTATGCATGGGAGACAGGGCGTGCAGTGAGGTTGAAGGATACGTGAAGGGACGCACGGTTGGAGTTGCGGTCTGCAAAATGTGTAAATGAACAAAACCACACAGGGCAGGTTAACAAGGCTGATCAGGAGAGAGACATTCACAAGCACAGATCTGCGGGGACTTGGATCGGGGAACCAGACACACGCACCACAGAAGCAAAGCTCCCTAGTGAGGGATGCCTCCCTCGCTCAGCGCGCCGACCGGAGACCGACCAAACGGGCCATCAGAAGTGGGGAAGGAGGGCTGCTTCAGCACCACCGCCGCTGAACCACAGTACGTACTCTTCCTCAAGCATCAGATACAAAAGGGAAAGGGATGCTGGAGAGGTCCCTGACCAGAGCAAGATGATTTTTTTTGTTTGACTTAAAGGTACTTGCTTAATTAGCATGTGCGTATCTTAAAACATGCCACATGACAATACCGAGCTCTTTACAGACAGATAGCTTTAGGTACCACATCAATTGACATGCCGCTGAGCGGGAAGACAACCTTAAACTGTCTAGACAACAAGGTGACATACACAAATCCAGCAGAGCACAATTTATTGGCAGTTAAATATCCTGACTGCAAGACTTCCATGAGTAATCAATCATGTAATGCACTCTCATAGAGCAGTTTTCCCAACACAAACTTCCATTTTCTGGCAACTGCATCTAACATTCCTCCGAGTCAGTACAAAGTGAAAAGAAGAAATCGCTTACCACCTCCCACGGTGGTCAGGCTGAAGGACACAATCCTGGGATGCTCCCTCCCTCCCCGTGCACCCCAGAGGCCAGCACCTACCCTCACTCGCTCACATCTTTCCACTAGCGGTCAAATTTTCCTTCTCGCAACATCACAGGGATCAGGAGGCAGGACCATGCAAGAGGGGTACGGGTAAAGGGAGGACAAGGCTAGGAAAGCGGAGACCACCTGACAGAAACACTGTCCTTACCGGAGGACTTCGGCTATTTAGAAGCCACTTGCTGTTTGCGTTGCCATTCCCCGCACACTCTAAGGAAGAGGCAGCAGCCCACAGGAGCACTCTAGAAGCAGTTCATGGTCCACAGTCCCCACTGGACCACCCTAACCTACCCAAAATGAGTTAATACTTGGTGTTCCGAGGTCACTTTATTCAACCCTGCATGTTTTCACAGCTTCGCTCCACGTCAACGGGAACCAACCACTACACTGGTTGCACGGTCATACCCTTTCCAACAGCATCCGCACCAAAATGCAAAAGGGAATATGGGAATATTTGAAATCAACAAGATCCATTTTCCTCTCCCAACTTCCCCAATACCATGGATGGGAGCTTTTGACCTGGATTCCTTCCTCTTCATTTTATATTTAGTAATCACAGACAACCGGTGCTTCGATTATTTAAATGCTATGATACTGACAGTGGTCAATAGCAGCAACTTATCTGCTGCATCCATCTTTAACTCATTTTTCGTAATCTTGCTAAGTGGGTCTATAAAAGGCACCCTTCTGGTTCCACTCGGAGTTGAAAATATATATCAAAGAGGAATAATCGTCTTGTGGCAAGATTAAACTGTATCCACCTTTTGTGCAATTCCTGCGCTGTCTGAAACTACTAGTACTAACCATTGACAAGCAGCAAACTAGACGAGATGAGCATCTAACTCTGCAACTTTTGTATTCTGCTGAATTCCATTCATTTCGAAACGCACACATCCTAAGCTTCTTTTTGAAATGCGCTGTTTGAAAAAGAAGTTAAGCTCACCCCCCAGAGGAATTTTTCCGTCATCATAAGCCTTTGCCCGTAGCACACTAGGCCCGGAAGGGTCTCCTTAAAGCGCCAGGCGCTGCCACTCCCTAGGCCGCCCAAGAGCTGCAGCGGAGCTGCCAGCAGCTCCTGCTTCCAGAGGACGGGGCGTGCTCCTCCGCCGCGCTGACACCGGCCCCGCTACAGCCTCAGATCCGACACGGAACTTGCATTCCTCCCTCCATCGTTTTTTTCAGCTGCAACGCAGAACACGTCTCGGAACTTAAAGCTATGTTGTTCAGAGTACTTTGATTAAAAAATTTTGCAACGCTGCTGCTAGAAATCCAAAGCCGTGCACACACATCAGGGTGGCGGTTGTTGGCTGGCTGCTAGCAGTTAAGCAGTGAAATGCTAACATTTATGAAGCCTCACTTGACAAAGTTATTTATGCCTATACGCTTTCCGTCCTCACCGCACTAACCCTAGCCTACCTCACCCACGGCAGCAGGGGTGCCATAAAGCGCTTGGTTAGCTATTAATGTTGAGTTCCACCGCTAACCACATTCGTACTTACTTCTGCTTTGTCCAATGATTAACATGAAGTTTATGTATTCTTGCCTCCCTGAAAAATGTCAGAGGTTACATAGTTTTCTTCTTTACTGAAGGATAACCTTTATACAGATCTTATTTTCCCATCTGTAATTCACACTGCCATTTTAGAAGACATAGCTGATTTAGGCAGAACCAAGCTAGGAAACCAAAAACCAAACATGCAGCAAAAACCAGACTTAACTGACAACGAACAGACGCCAATTCACCTTAGAAAACAGATAAGGCAATACAGATGTGTGTACAGATTTAGGAGACTTTTGTTAGGTATATTTATGTGCACCATTCACATTTTTTAATTAACTTTTAAACAAACACCACATCTTCTCCAGGTGCTCTGAAAAGCCAAGTAATTTCTAACACCTATTAAAACATTCACATAAAGAAAATTTATTAAAAAGTCCTCCTGCCCTTGGATTAATAAAATATCCTGGAGCTGGGAAGTTTAGGGAAGAGTTATGGAAACAACAGGGGAAGGCGGCGGGCAAAAGGCAGCGCCCCGAGCCGTGCGCTGCTTCCCCGCGGGCGAGGACGGAACGCCACCCCGCAGCTTCGCCCCTCCGGAAAATAACCCAGGAGGGGCGGCTTAGTCCAGACCGCCTAAAGCAAAACAGACACGCTATAAAAACCAACCCCAACGAGTTTTGGAATACACATCCATATGTCCTAAATACACATAAGAAGAAATCCACAGCGATCCACAGTCCAGTGTAAGAAGGAAAGCTGTAGATGTCAGCTTCCTATAGGACAGAAAATCCCATGATACATTTAGAGTACGCATTAAGAGAATAGCACTGAAATAACAATCGATATGGGTATAAAATTAGAAGCTTGGCTTTTCTAAATGAACAGACAAGTGTGAAAGGCACAACGTTTGGATCAATGTAAACCAGTATTTGAACAGATGCCACGCAGACCAGAGAAGATAAAACATTTAACATGTTCTCTTTCATATTTCCCGAGCCGCACAACCTCCCAGCCAGCCTTCGCCTCATCTGCATCAGGGACGCCAGAGCCAGGCAGTCGCCCGAGCAGCGGCAGCGCGCCCCGACGTGACGCCGTGGTCTTCCCGCAGGCACCGAAAGCCGAACTTACCGAGCGCTGCCCGGCTGCTTGGGCACGAGACCCCCACGCCAACGGTTTGCTGATGGAGGCAATAAATGTCCATTGCCAAGGCAACGAGGTGAAAGGAGAGCAATCTAGGATTTCACCTGAAGAAAGCTTAACATGTACCGCGGCGGGGGAGTGTTGGGTTGCGTTTGGTTTGGTTTTTTTTCTTTTCCCTGTATAGAGGCATTTTTGATTTCAAACCAAGATAGGGTCAGCGAGGTAAATTTCCACTGGCTGGAAGGAGAGAAACCAGATCACGCTGGAAAGTTACCTGCTCCCAGGGACTCTCTGAATCCGGTTTCACCCACTGAGCACCACATCTCTATTTTTATTACACCTGAAAGTTTGCAAAACATAACAAAATAGAAAAAAACAACAACAGATCTTTAACTCAATGTTTTGGCTACAAAACACATCAGAATGGAAAAGACAACAAATCTTTAACCCAATGTTTTAACTGTTGGAACTCGTTATCCTGAATGAAAACACACACAGAGCCCCTGGTGTGCTGGGTGTAATAAAAACATACGGTCCCCCCAACAAACTGCTCTTTAATTCTCCCCATTATTGTGAATAATCAACTAGGATTTGCAGTTTCAAAACAAAACAGAGTATTTCTCATCTACTTAAAAAAAGAGCCAAAGTGTTTTCTATAGCAAGCCTAACAACGTTGGGCTGCTCCTAAATCTTTTAGCAACTGAAAACACAGAAGACAAGTTAGATTGCAGAAGAGTCATGCTGATTCTTACTTGGATTTGTTGGTGGATTAAACCAACCCACGTTACCGCTGAGTGAAAAAACAGTACTCTAGGAAGCTATTCCACATCAACGTCTTACCCTGAACGTTACCACATCGGATTACCCTCTGTTCTGACATACAGCCACCCACCTACCATCAAACAACCTCAGGGCCACCCAAGAGGGAGAAGCGAAGCGGGATGCTCTATCCGACAGCCGGCCGCCACCGCCCCCGGGGCAAAGCCAGCCGCCGGCACACCGAGCGAGCCGAGGAAGAGCCACGCTCCTGGGCTGCCAACGCACAGCCACTCCGGGAGCGAGAGCAGCCGCCCGGCGCGAGCCGGTCCTGCCGGGGAAGCGGCGAGGTGAGACCAAGCGCCCACCCTGCCCTGGCGCTGCCCAGCCCCGCTGTCTCCCCTCCAGAACGCCCCGGCCCTGCCAGAAGGCCGCCGCGGCTCCCGCCCAGCAAACTCCGGCCACTGAACACCATGGCCCCAGAAACGCTCCGCTTTCAAATGACAATCTCTGCGTACGTTTAACGGAAAAACAACAAAACACCACAAAAGCAAGCACAGTTTGGAATAAAGGCCATGAGCCAGGCAAGGAAGTCAGTCGACATATTTAGTACCGCTACCCTCGTTATCGCCCAACAGCACGGGCAGCTGGGGCAGGAAGAAGCTGGTTTGCTTGCTGGAGACCCGGGGAGGAGAGAGGCATCCAAAGTGAACAGCTCAACTTCTGGGGACATCATAGTGATTTTCTGAAGGCCGTAGCAATAGTATGTGATAAGTCTCAGTATAATTCTTGTGATAACTTAATAATCTTGATATTTGTCAGTGGCAATTTTGCAAACACTCTTTGATAAAATCTCTGTTCTGCAATGAAAACAAAAACAGGCACCAAGGGTACGAACCACATCTCCGCTCCCCTCTGCGAAGTTCAGCCCGGGAAAACCAACTTAGAGTAAAGGTCACTAGGTTACAACCACCTACTTACCCGGCTCAAGCACAGAAATTAAAATCTCATTTCAGGTAGCTTCACCACGAGCAACCTGGGAACCCGGCTCAGGTGTTCCTCCCTTCAAACGCCGAGCACATTCCCCCTTACGAAGTCCGAGACTAAAACAAATTTTGCCTTTTCTTCCCTGCAGAATTCTCAACCCTCGCTGCGTGATGCAGCATATTAAAAAACAGCCAACCAACCAACATTATTTTGTCTAAAGCAGATCTCGAAATCAGAGCAATTAAACCTAGGTTTTGGAGGAAAGAAAGCCATGTAACTGGGACCAGAGAGACCCTCCTGGCTACACGGAGTCGGGCACAGAGCGCCAGCACCCGCGGTGCTCCACGGCACGTCTCTAGGCTGAGGCAACGACTTCCCCCACAGCACGGCGGCAAAAGCCGAAACAAACCCAAGTTCCGAGGAAACTGCTGCTGAGCAAAAACCCGACTTGTCGTCCTCACAGGACGATGCCCCAAGTTGAGGGGGACGAGCTCTCTGTAGCACCAGAACAAGCGTGTACCCGTCAGCTCCGGGCGCTGGAGCTGGAGGAGGCGGCGGCGGCTTTGGAAGCAAGCTCTTTCGGGGGGCG